GACCCTCCTTTCAACTCTGGTTCGCTTTACTCCTCGTTCTAGCCCCTCTCTTTCTCTGCATCTCCCTTCAACCCACCCTCCAAGCTGGCCTGTGAGTCGGCCCTCCTTCAGCGGAGGAAGAGAGAGAGGCATTAGGCATTACTTAAGGGCCCACGGGTCCTCCTGGACGACGGAGGAAGGGTATACCCCTGGAAATGCGGCGTGGCTTCTTCCCTTTTGCCCGGAGAAGGCGATCGGCTTTGGCGGCAGGAAAAAGGACGATTTCACGCTGCGAATTGTCCACGACTCCGAGGTCCCCTCTTCTCATTTACGAGGGTAACAATTCTCTTATCGATCCTAGCCGTGCCGGAACGGGAGGACACAGCCCGGTGTTATCGGTGTTGCCCCGGTGGATTGCTGACCATCTCGGAGTCTCGCCCTCCTCACTGATTCCGTTTCGTTCCACGGGACGGGGCACCGTAACGGTGGATGCCGCGTCTCGATTGGGGATTAAGATACGAATGGGAACAAGCTTCATTGTTTCGAGGATTGGGGGCCTGGCAGGGAGAAGCTGCCAGGAGAAAATTGATTTACCGGCGAGTTACCGTGAACGATGAAATTAACCGTGGGCTTGTTGGTACGCTACGGGGCAACGTAGCTGTGTGGATGCTGGAACGATGACCACCATCTTGACACTTGGCGTGGGCTTGGGTGACTGAAGTTGGAGTTTGGGGGAAGTAATGTCTTTTTTGAGAGGAATCTGATATTGTCTACTACTTGGTGGTTAGCTTTGATTGGCTACGTGTAACCTATTGACGAAGAGGTAGTTGGTATCGAAAATGGGGTGAGGAAGGATGAAAATAAGATTGTCCATAATTGTTTCAATTGGAATTGATATATAACAGTTTTAAACAGCTATTTTCGGAACCTTTTCAATCCCTGATGAACACTCTGCAAGTGGGCGAGCATTTCTCAGTGTGCCCATCAAGTGGTACACGAGTAATACGTCTTCTTAAAGATGGTAGAATTACAGAGCCTGTTGTTTGAAAATGGCTACGAATTATGTTTGAATTATTAATTTTTTTGTTTAAAATCGTTGGCGCAGATATATGAATCATGGCATCATATTTATTGAGACAACCCCTATGGGACAACGTCTTCTTTTATTTAATTTTTTATATCATTTACTTATGACTACAATGAAACAAAAGAAATATACAAAGTAGGGATAGAAAAATATTAATTAGAATTTCAAGGCGTCTTAAAAGGTTGACAAGCCAATAAAATTTAAAATGCGCAAAAAACCAATATTGAAAATGAATTTATGTTACTGATATTTGTATTATGTACGACTAATAGATCTACTGTTTTTTTAAGTAGAATATTAAGAAATTCAGTAATCGCTGCAATAAATATTAACCTTCATATCCTGTTCGTGTAAGAATTATATTCATGTGTCAAAATTAAAATTATATTAATGAAACATGACGGTACATAATGATCAATATGTAACACATGAAAGTATTATATATACAGAATAATTGTATAAAATGTGTTTACGAACTTCTATAAGATAAAAGCGTATTGGGAAGTTAAAAATATACATTACAAATAAAGTTTTATCAGACAATGCGTAACTGTTATTTGTGATCTATAGAAAATATTTCATGCGAGTAATTTGGATGGAAATGGGCAAGTGATTCTAAGCCGTTAGATCGAAGTGCATTCTGCAATTATAGTACGGTCAATAGTAACCATAATACAGCCATTTATTTTCCACTAACGTAATGCTTACGGTTCCATTAACCCGAGTCTTACAGTTTCATATCGCGTAAAAGCTTCGGGCGTGATAACACAAAGCGTTTCCCTTTTATAGTCCGAAACTATGGACGAAACTTTACCTCGAAACAAGATTTAAATTGGGTATCCTTAACCGTGGAAGAACGATAAAAGTAATGGAACCAAACTCGGTGTATTTTTTTCAATAAATTCCAATAGTATTTAGAAAAACGAATGAAGTATTCTATGTATTTATTCGAGGAAAAACTTAATATGTATTATATAGTAATTGTCTACATTTGGGATAAATAAATATGTAGAGAATTTGAGATTATGCTCTGATATCGATAAGTATCCAATATTTATCCATAATGTTCAAGACCTTCTGTAATTGATGGCATAATCGAAAACTCGGTCTTTTCATAATATATAAGTCCTTTTACGTGTATGTCGATAAATTACAGTAAAAACGTAGTATTTTGTATTAATTAACTGTTAAGATATTTCTTCGCTCCCTTTTTTGTTCTAAAAAACATATTCTTTATAAAATCATCAACTAGTATGGGAACACATAAATATTTTTATCATTTATATCCATTTAAAAAAGTTGTTTATATTAAAGTTACAAATAAATTGTTGCCGTTACCGATTTAAAGGGGAAATCATCGATGTCCCTTTAAATGGCGCCATCTGTTTTTAACTTTTCATTTAACTAAAACTTTGCAAACTTTCATAACAATCTTCACCAATATTTAGTATCAGTTAGTAAAAAAAGATGTTTACTGTTTGCATTCTTATTCCCAATCGTTACCATTATCGAGGGATAAAGAATAACCGCAATTTATTCCGAGCGAGAAGGCCTAATTGCCGTTCGATGCCTACTGGCGTTGCATTTAGTTGCATCTCTTTCGCTGCTCATCATTGCGACCAAACCTTAATGAGACCGTTTTTCTTGATCCGCAGATCATCATGTTCCCGGAGTGAGGCATGAGCGCGGTAAAAGGCTTTGGTTCGACGTCTCCGAGGTACCGCCAGGGGAGCACATAATCGGTGCAGAGCTCAGGCTCTATCGCAGCATGGACGTGAAGAATCGAAGAAACCGTGGATCGTACATGATCACGGCGTATCGTGTCTTGAGAACCGAAGACGGGTGAGTGTTGTAACAGAATTCACTTGCTGCCGACGCAGTTAGGCCTGTTCAGTTACTCTGATCTTGTTCAATTTGTGTACCAAGGATTCCCATTGATTGTAGCTGCAGGTACCCCGTGCAATAGGGGACGAAAGTATTTGTACAGTAAAAAAACTCTAGTGAATGTAATGTTGATTTTGATCTTAACGATATTTGGAATGATAAGTCTAATTTATTAAACTAAATCATTTGTTAAACTACTACTAATTGTAATATTTTCGTTGTTTTAATATTTTTAGTTGGTTGAGGTATTTGCGTACCAGATGTTACGTGATAATAGACTTTTATGCTTGCTGTTGTCTTGGTTTATTATAAATCATTCGTGTGATTACACTGTTATGAATTTCCATTGAAATTAGTTTACAGGATATGATATAAATTTTATTTCATTTGATTCGTTTATATTGAACAGTAATTTAAATGTTGTATAACATCTATTGAAATAGAGTTTATTCACCGATTATGATTACAGCTCGTATAATTATCTCATTGTTTGCATATTTTTATCTGCTACTATAAATAATGGAAGTGAAATGTGCATATCTAATATATAATTGCACTTTCATAGAATTGAAACTTTATACTAGAAACGGAATCCTTTTAATTATTTCAATCATTCTCTATGTTTTATGAGTACGCTGCAAAATATTTTAAAATTATACTTTCGTCAATAAAACATATACTGTCATCATGAATATGTTTGAGCAAGTTAAATTTTTGTGAATCGTTATATCTTACATTTTTTAGTCATTGAAAACTGGTCAAACAAATAATTCTGTTATTAATGAAATTTATCGTATTATCAATCAGATCTTCAATTTTTGATTATTAATCAATTTAAAATTTTTTAAAATCATACATATAAAATTTCAGAAAAATGTTCGTAGCAATTCAAATAAAAATAGTACTTGTATGATAAAACAAAATTTCTTATATTATGTATCTACTAAAAAATGAAGCACTTATCTCATTCTACCTTACAATACAAAAATATTTTGGAAGTTTCAAATCAATATACTTTCAATTCTCATTTCTTACTGTCCAATAGAAATACCTTTAACTCGATTTCTATCATCAAATTCCATTGTCCATTATATTACCATTGAACCCTTCACTTACATCACATACAATATTCGAAAAATACCTAAGAAAACACTGATCAATATTCTACTTCCAATCTCCCACAAACATTCTCTAAAACCGATATCCAACCTATCCTCATTTTTAGACATCATATACCGTTATCTACCTTATCCTCAAGAATGCGTCTGAAACGTTCCTCAGAAGGGAAACTGCCTCTTATCATTTTCCCTCGTATCAAAGTCTTAATCCCTTGCCCTATGATTTATTTCTCAACTGTGATCAACATAACAACTTTGTTGTTAATAATTTATTGGAAAAAGAAAAAAATTGTATGTATATTCTATGTCGAAATTTGCTCTAGAATATAATAATTGATAATAGAAAAATAATATTTCATTGGAATTCATAAGAACTGAGTGATATTTATATTTGTTAAAGTCTGTTTAAAATCTTCACCACGGGTCTCACACGTTATTATAAGGCAAGGGGTTAAAATCCCTACGTTCGGCGTTAAACGAATTACACGTTTCCGCAACTAGCAAATTCGCAATAATCTTGCTCCTTGATGTCATTGTCGTGTCAGCAATTAAACTTAGTCCCGGTTCCCGGAAAACTCAGTCAGGTATCGGGACTTTACCTGCAGGCTGAGCTGCCATTTGGGGGTTTGGTGAGGGCGGCTGATACTTTCTCGAGGTGACCTTTAACTGCCGCGTGCGGCGCAAAGGACGACCGCTGGGCCGGGACAGCGTGGAAAAACAGTACTCTTCCCGTTCATCTTTGTCCGTTCCCGGGTAGCCGGGTGGCTAGACCAATTTCGATGGTTCCTCCGGCCCCGAGTCCGTGGTTTTTGACATCGTCATCGTGCCCCTAATTAGGCAGTCCTTAAGTCGCCGAAAAAATCTCAGGTATTTGTTCTACCTGTGAGAGCTCTGGGGACCAACCCACCATTTCTTTTTTCGATTCTGCCTTTCTCATTCATATACGGGGGCTGCCCACCTAGCGGTGCACGAATAAACGAGCCGAGCTCCTCTTCTTTTCGAGAACCACCGACACACCGAGGTTACACCGTATTCCGATCGATTTTTATCTTCATTCCGGGGCCTCGTTAATATGATATAAATTAGTCAAATCCGTCCGTTATCGTGTCTCTGTATCGCGGATCTTTATCGTGAGGATTTTTCGTTGTGCGACATTTTAACAATTTTAGATGTGTATAATTTAGTTTGGGTAATTGTCTGGATACTGGATGTGAAAAAGTTATGTAGTGACAGAATGTTTTACTGGAAAATATAAGTAAGGTGAATTAACTTTCGTTCTGGGCAATATGACAGTTTTTGTTTTATTTTTAAACTTTAATTTTAATTTTAATTAAAAGTTCTTTTTAACCCGTTTTAACACTTGTTCGGTTGGTTGGGTAAAAATAGCCATGTAGACTTCATTGTAGAGTGAAGTCATTTCTATGTTATTAATCATAACAATTATCAATTTCTTTATTGATTTATGTATTAGACAGTAATAGTTCATATTAAATATCATCAATGATTAAATATCATCGATGTAAATATGAAAGTTATTGCAGAATTCATAGTTCATCTCCTGTTTTGTCAATGAAAATTTTCTTATCTACTGACCGGTTAAACGTTGAGTTTATTTTTAAAGAATATTATCTATATTTATTAATTAAAATGTCCGAATACGTATAATCATTATATGGACAGTTTAAATGGTGTTTCGAATGTATTTCCAAAGTATTTACGTATTTATAAATACAGTGGTCAAAAGTGGTACCCATAGTTCTTTTTTAAACTTTCTATTTTGGCCATGGGATCGGCAAAACTGGTTATGATACTGCATCAGATTTAGCCACTGCAACCGAATTTTATGTTCCAATTTTAGGAATTTATAATGCATAAAACCGCTTTTACTTTCCGTGTTAACGTCATATAAACGAGTGGATGTTATAAAAGCTACAGGAAAAGAAACAGAAATGGAATTAGAATGAAAAGAGAAAGAAAAATGTTAAAAAGGAGCAGCAAAAGAGAATAGCAAATGAAGACAGAGAAAGATAAGAAAAAGACGAAGTAAAAAATTTGTAAAATAAAACTTTAGAATTGTAGAAATAAAGATACATTATAAAGTTTTATAAAAAAATACTATTTCTTAAATACTTTTTATTTCTCATTGCTGTCTCTTTAGTTTTGTTACTTTGCTTCATAAATCTGTTTTTCTATTATTAAGCTGCGTATACAAGTAGGTACATCGTACTTGAAATAAAATTAAAATAAAGTTGGAAAATAAAAATTTGATCATATTAGTAATATTTTAATGACAATGGTGCTTTGAGTTCCTTATAATATGGAGAGTCAATTCTTTACATTTGAAATATCAATCTTGCTGGCATTAATGTTTTTCCTTCCTTTCATTATGCATAATTATGCGAAGGCAACTACGAATGCATCTATTACCAGAGATCTCCATTACGATGCCAGTTAATATGTAGTACATGTTTTCGAGCAAGCATGAAGTGTTTAGGCCAGAATGACAGAAGCAAGAACGAAGAGTGTTTGAACCAATCGTTCAAGTTTCTGACGTAAACGGAGGGTGTGTGATCATTCAATATACCAAGGTGACTAAATATTTTTTACGGATATATATCTACATGAAATGAAAATTGTGAAAAAATAGACAATTATCTTTTTCATGCTAGTAATAAGAAAAACCGAGCTTAAATGATCAGATAATTTAAAAAATACCACATTTTAGAACATTATATGAGGATTTTTCAAAAGGTAACAGCAAAGTAAAAGTTATTGGTCAGTGACAGATAAAATTACACGTCAATTTTCTACATAACCATATTCTTTTTTATTCATTTTACACACTCATAGACCATTAATTAATTACCATTTACCAAACCATTTCTTAATTACATCAAAAGGGGTACCTTGTTTGGTAAATACAAACAAATTTACCATTACTTTTCAAAATGGAAGGAACCCAAATTGATTTTCCTACTATCAACACATTCCACCGTAACACCGTTAATTATTCCATATATACTAATAATAATTCCAGTACCATTTCAAACCAGAAAAATATTCTAATTCCTCGTACCCATAAAGCAATATCAATCGAACAAAGCTCGGTCGAAGAACTTGGGTAAGAAGGTGCGTGGAACGATTCGATTGTTAGCGGCCGAGGAGCTGGCCGTTTCGAGTCCACGTGTCCGGTCGTCGTTCCTCGGACAAGGAGGACGGTGTGGCGGATGGCGACAGCGTGTCTAGTGCCATCCCTGTCTGTGGTACCTCCGTAGACTTTAATACTGGCGACCTGACCGATATACGGGCCCCGACAGGAAACGCTATTCCGTAAATTGAGGTAAATTAGCCATGGAGACGGGCTCTCGGAGGTCCGAGTTAAG